TCCAGGGACTCCAGGATCGTGACCTGAGCCGAAGGCAGTCGCTTAACCAACTGAGCCACCCAGGCGCCCTAGCTTTTTGTTTTTTAAACATGTCTTTGTATAAGAAAAATAATTATATAATTTTCACGTTAATTTCTCTCTTTTGAATGCAGTATTTTCAGCTATTTTTTTAATTTTAGAAGAAAGTAGTTGTTTGCTTGTTTTTTTAAGATTTTATTTATTTATTTGAGAGAGAGCGTGCGTGCACAAGCAAGGTAAGGGGCAGAGGAAGAGGGAGAAGCTGACTCCCCACTGAGCTGGGAGCCCGATGTGGGGCTCAGTGTGGGGCTTGATCCCAGGACCCCGGGATCATGACCTGAGCCAAAGGCAAACGCTTAACTGACTGAGCCACCCAGGCACCCCAAAGCAGGTAGTTTTTATGACTGAATAATTTTCTCTTGTGAAATAGATTTCAATCACCCAAAATAAGAATAACACAGAATATAAAGAATATAAATTATTGCTGTGGTTGCTTCTACCAGTTTTTATGCTGCCTTGGGCAATCCATTTTATCCCTCTGTTTCTTCATTTGAAAATAAAGCTATCTTACGTTGTAATGATCATGTCCTGGATCATTAATTATTGGATACCAAACATTTAAGCATTCAGGGCTTCTTTTCCATGTAGCCATATGCAGCTGATCTTTTTTTGGCCGGTCTGTCCACTGCTGGTTCCTATCCGTAACCATTCTCTTGCCTGGTTTCCCTCACCCACATTTTCTTTTTTTTTCCAGTTCAATTCCTACACATCCACGAGAGATTAGCTCAAATACTGTCTCCTCCACATAGCTTTTTCCAGCTTTTCATGATTTGTGCACCTCCTCCTTCTGAATGTTTATAGCACCCAATTGTCTCTGCTACTGTGGGGGAAACCCTGCTGAGAACGGATCATGTGGCACAGCCGTACAGAGTGGTCTGAATTTTCTTCTACCATCCATTGCAACTGCAGAGGCCCTTTTCCAGATGTCCAGCTGCAGCTGTTGTTACTGCCTCTGTTATACCCAGAGCGTGATCTCATTTCTTTGCCTCTTAGTTTATTTAAGCAAAGTTGGATTTTTTTCAAAAAGTACTTCATTAGCAAACTTAGAGGAGAAACAGAAACTATAAACGTAAAGGAGTACACACAAGGATAGCACACTAGTTTTTAAAAACTATCTGAAGTGAAATCTAGAACCAGGTAACTTGACTAGATGAGGTAGAACCTTCCTTAACTGGCCTTCAGTGATACTTCTTCCAAATTTGAGGATAGGTTACACTTATATATGTATATTTTTTTCCTCTCTCCTCTTCTGAATATCTCCAGGCTAGCCCTTGGAAGACCTACCCAGATTTCCATCCATTTTATCTTTTTTTTGGGGGGGGGGGTGGTAAATACAGTCTTTTCACTTTATTTTAATATGAATTTAGATTCTTTTTTTTTCTGTCCATTTTATCTTTAACCCATCTCTTCACCAAAGGCATATTTTTTTAGCCAGTTATAAATACTGCCAATCCAGTTTGGCTAAATTTATATTCTTCACTCTGATTCTAGGGCTGACACCAGTCATGGTATTTAAGGCCCACCCTAATCCAGTATGACCTTATCTTGATTACATCTGCAAAGATGCTATTTACAAGTAGGGCCACATTCACCTGTACCAGGAGTTAGGGCTTGAATGTGACTTTTTGGAGGACACAGTTCAATACTACAGTTACTTATTGGATGGAGGGGACGTAAGTAATGCTATTTAAGATCCCAGGTGCGACAGTGGGCCCTAGTGGGGCTGGGGCATTGTCCTACTTTTCAGTGGATCACAGGGCCTCTTAGGTACTATGAAGCTCTGTGGAAGGCTTCGGATTGGTGGTCAGAGGCCAAATATAACCTGCAGGTGTGTTTTGTTTGGCCTGACCAGTGTTTTAAGCACTTTTAGTTACTTACTAACCTTGACAATTAGGAGATTTCACATGAAAATCAGACTTTTTTTTTTTTTTTTTTTTAAGTGGACTCCACACCCAACATGGGGCTTGAAACTACGACCCTGAAATCAAGAGTCCCATGCTCTACCAACTGAGCCAGCCAGGCACCCCAAAAATCAAACTTTCTGACTTCACTTGTAAAAGGGGGAGAAATATGGGAACACTGGGTCTACCATTAGACAGGGCAGCACGCATTCTGTAGCTCATGACAGTTTGCATCTGGCTGTGGCATTCCCTTACTCTGTCTCCCTGATCCTTAGAGGCAGTTGAGTTGATGAGCCCAGTTTTAGCCTCAGTGGCAAAGTACAGCCAGTACCCATCTTGCAGGATCAGCTTCACCCCGGAGATGGGCACTGAAGAGACTGCAGGGCCTGTGAAGCTCTCAGCTACATATTCAGGGAGGGCTTGACCAAAGGATCCTGAATCCAAAGAACAGTGGTGGTCTTCCTTGCTCAGGTGAACAGCTTTGATTTCTTAGGTTCTGCTTGATGCACTTAGGACGTACCTAAGACAACGTTCAGTTTTCAAGTGAGAAAGGGAGGTATTGTTTATTTGGCCCCCTTGGAGTCCTCCAAATTTTGCAATGTTTTTTTTTTTTTTTCCTGACATCAAATCCAATTTTAAATCCTTTGTTTTCAAGAATTTAATAATCTTGCTGTCATATTTTTAAATTTCTGGTGACCCCCTGTTCATTTAGCAGCTATTTATTGGGGAGCGTATGTGCAAGGTGCTCTGCTACCTCCCAGGAATAGTGACACAAGCCAGACACGGCCCCTGCCCTTGTGGAACATGCAATTTTGAATTAATGCCTGAGTTTAGAAGTGGTTTAAATGACCCAAAATCAAGTCCGTGTAGATTTTATGTTATTGATGCTTAGTACTTGCTCTGTTTTTTTTCCCCCTTGCAGGAGAAATGCTCTCGTATGGGGATAGGCAAGAGGTGGAAATCAGAGGGTGCTCACTTTGGTGTGTTGAACTGATCCGGGATTGCCTTCTGAAGCTTATTGAAAAAAAGGGTGAAAAAACTAGCGGAGAGATCAATTCTATTCTTCTGGATTATTACTTGTGGGACTACGCCCGTGACCACCGGGAAGATATGAAGGGAATTCCCTTTCATCACACGCGCTGCATATATTATTGATCCAAAGTAAACTTGCATTTTTGTATCACATAATCATTTGTACAGTTTCGCCTTAATATTAAGAGAAGGTAGGGGTGCCTGGGTGGCTCAGTCGGTTAAGTGTCTGCCTTCGGCTCAGATCATGATCCCAGAGTCCTGGGATCAAGCCCCATATGGGGCTCTCTGCTCAGTGGGGAGTCTGCTTCTCTCTCTCCCACTCCCCCTGCTTGTGTTCCCTCTCTCGCAGTCAAATAAATAAAATCTTTAAAAAAAGGAAAAAAAAAAAAGAGAAGGTAGTAGACGTTACAGCAACAAGAAAAGTGATTACCCAGTCTCACTTAAAAAATTTTTCCTGACCCATCACTCTGCATTCCCAACTTTGTCCTTTGTCTGCTTGTTGAGTTTTGATCGTATTTTTCTTTTCTGTGGGCACATGACAGGAAAAATGAAGGAATTGTGATGCTCTCTTTAAAGCTCACATCTCTTAAAATTAATCATGCCTTATAATGTGATTAGTCATCAGTGATAATATTTCATCCATTCAATTGGTATCTTTTCTCAGGGTGTACTAATTTCTTATATACCTTGATCCTTTGATATGGGGGGGGTAGGGTCTTAGCTGTATGAATGCTGCGGCTTTTGTATAAATCAATCTTGACAGCTTATTTTAAGCTTTTTATTGGTATTGACAGTGGGTTTTGCACATAGTGATTTTCAGTTTAGGAAATCT